TTTCCCTTTCCCTTTCCCTTTTCCTTTCCCTTTCCCTTTCCCTTCCCACCTAGCCCTGTTCTGGGAGGGCGTATGGTTCGGGGCTTCTCTTGCCGCCTTTCGTTCCGCGATGTGCATCACGCACTTACCCAGGCCCGTCGCAGACACCCGCTTGCCTCCAGGTCCCTCCCCCACGGGTCATGCCACGGCCAATGCCCTTGTGCTGGCGCTAGCTAGCAGCTCTGGCGGGCAGGTAACGGAGAGGGGTCCCTGGATTCCGAGGTTCACACCTGCCCGTGTTCGGTCAGGCTGCCTTCCAGAAAAGCTCTCGCGTTGCCTGCGTCCTCACCGGCACCGAGCGTCCGCCATTCTGAAGGTGTCAAAGGGGCATCTCGCTGTCGTGGTTTGCACACCCCTGCTCCCTCACAGCTGCGGACGTCTCCTCGTACCCTCGTGAGGCCTTTGGCTTCTCTTGTGAACAGCCTGCTCACTTCCTCCAGCTTTTTTTTTTTTTTCTCAGACTCGTTTTCCTTATTTATGCATTTGTTTACTTTTTTTAAGTTAATTTATTTTGAGAGAGCGGTCACGGGAAGGGCGGAGAGAGGGAGGGACAGAGAATTTCAAGCAGGCTCCACACACCGGCAGAGCCTGACGCGGGGCTCGAACTCACAAACCATGAGATCCCGACCCGAGCCAGAATCAAGAGCCGGACGCTTAAGTGACACCCAGGCGCCCCTCAAGGGTGATTTTTTTGACTCCAACTCATGTCAAGTCTTTAAGAAGCGTCCGGTATCTTGACTGAGGTAGTAAGTAGGTCTACACGGTTACACGTGTGATAAAGTTACAAAGATGTCCACACAAACAAAGGTACCCTAACTGTTGAGGTCTGAATGAGCCAGTGTGGGGCTGTGGTTTGATATTGTGCTATAGTTGTGCAAGATGTCACATCGTGGAAGGTCCATTTCTTTGCAACTTCTTACAAATCTCTAACTATTTCAAAATAATGAGTTCAAAAAAAGCTTATCTGCAAAGGATAGGACAGGGTTCAGTGGAAAATAATTGAAAACCACCTAAAACATCCAACATTTGAAGAATGGTGGTCGCTCAAGTGTAATAACTAATAAAGTACTCTGCTGCTTTAAAATTCCATTTTGAATAATACTGAATCATGGGAAAATTATCACATTATAATGGTAAATTTTAAAATCAGGTTATGGGGGGCGCCTGGGTGGCTCAGTGGGTTGAGCGTCCGACTTCGGCTCAGGTCATGATCTTGCGGTCTGTGAGTTCAAGCCCCGTGTCAGGCTCTGTGCTGACAGCTCAGAGCCTGGAGCCTGTTTCAGATTCTGTGTCTCCCTCTCTCTGACCCTCCCCCGTTCATGCTCTGTCTCTCTCTGTCCCAAAAATAAAAATAAACATTAAAAAAAAAATTAAAATAAATAAATAATATCAGGTTATGGGAGGAAGCATCCATATCCCACATCGAATATACTTTTTATCTAATTGTATTAAAATTGCAGTTGACTAGGGGCGCCTGGCTGGCTCAGTCAGTAGAGTGTGTGACTCTTGATCTCAGGGTTGTAGGTTCAAGCCCAATGTTAGGTTTAGAACTTGCTTAAGAGAATAAGATCTTAAAACAAATAAATAGGGGCACCTGGGTGGCTCAGTCGGTTGAGTGTTCAACTCTTGATCTCAGCTCAGGTCATGATCTCCTGGTTTTTGGGAGCAAGCCCCGCATCAGGCTCTGCACTGACAGTGTGGAGCCTGCTTGGGATTCTCTCTCCTCTCTCTCTCCCCCTTCCCCACTCTCTCTCAAAATAAATAAATAAACATTTA